ATTAATCCGAATCGAATGATTCAATTAATTTAGTTTTGGCACTATTTTTTATAATAAAAAAAGTAGTCTTATATAATAATATAAGGAAAATCATATAAAATCGGACAAATGCATGGACCTCGTTAGAAAAAAACTTTCCCAAACCTAGTAGAGGAAAAAGAGTCCACCATACTCCTTACCTTAGATAAAAATATCAACAGAACAATCCAATCATCTGGAACCAACAGAATAAAACCAGCAGAGGAGCGTCACTCACCCCAAACCAAGGCAAAATTTTCAATGGTACAACACCCTGCACAATGAATCCACAACCTTCAGAACTGAAAACTCAACTTGGGCACCAGCAGAACAATCCCAAGTTACGATAGAACTATAAAGTCAGACCCACTATTCCTCCCAAACAACATCACTCGAACAATATCAAGATCAAACCTGCAATGCTTTCAATGAAAAAGAAACTTATTCGAAAACTAGCACGTTACTTGTAACTCATATACTACATAACAAAAAGAAGTATAACATTAACCATCAAAAGATTGTACAATGTTCAGACTTACAAAAGAAAATAGCCATGACATTCTAAACGTAATCATATATGTTGACTATATTATATACACACAAATTTCGTCAAGTCAAAAGATTGAAATATACTTGGCTAAGCTACACAAAAAAGTTGGGACCATATTCTAAAGTCACAATCAAAAAGAGATCGACATAATTGTAGAAGGCGACGGTCAAAATGATGGTCTAAATTGACGGCATTCAACCAATTGCTTAATCACATAATCTTGCTTGAATTCTTTTGGCAAAGAAAAGAAGAAATCTACCTTTTGCGCATCATTGCTAATATACTCTTCTGCAGTAAGCATTTTATCAGTGGACAGTCCTTCAATTTTCATGATTTCAGTGAAAATCGACATTCTTCGATCATTTCCTTCTGCCTCTTTTTTCAATAAAACAGTAATATCCTTAATTTCTTTGGTAGTCTCTCGGTATGCAGCACCGAACTTACTTATCTCCTGTACAAGCTCAGTTAACCTATCATCACTTCGAGACCTTTTCTTGCTAGCTTCTTTTTTCATTATAGGGGTAGAGCCAGTAACATCAGATGTTTGGCAAGTTGAAGCACCAACATCCTCTCTTGATTCAGAATCTCTTACTCCCTCTTCTTCAAGTAATGTATCTATAAATGCATTGTCTTCTACATCAATATGTTCCACTACATCAGCTGCTGTCTCCGCTGCTGTTCCTGTAGCTCTTTCTTTTCCAAATATATGAACAAAGTCATCAAAGAATGAAAATGACTTGTTTCTCAATCCAGCAGCAGTTGCATGACTCTACAATATAATAAAATCTCAAATTTAATAAATCTTACAAAGCTAAGTAGATAACAAAGAGTATAGAAAGAAGATAAATTCAATTAAAATACTTACTCTAACCCAATCATCAAACACATCCTTTGGTGCAGTTAAACATTTTTCTTCTTCATTCCAATCGAATCCACTTCCAATATTCATCATTTCAGATAAAACATTATATTGTCTTTTGAGTAGCTTCACTCTAGATTCAATATGTGGATGGGCCCTAATTTGTGATGTTGGAAGCTTAATATCTAATATCTTTTCAAGGTTAGATAGATAACCTGATCTAAATGTTTTGTTAACTTCCTAAAAAGGCTACTTTTAAGGACTTTTTCACTTAAGTTATTGTTTGTTTAAAAGTTCATTTTAGGTATTTTAAGATCATGTAGTTGTATATAGTTGCATTTGTGGTGGTAGTGCTATTTTATTTCTTAATGATGCTACTTGATAGAAAGGTGCAGTTTGTCTATGATGTGCAGGAATAACAAGCAAAAAGGATTCGTTGGGAAGTAATGCCGCGACATCACATGTTGCTGAAGCAGATTGAAATGCCTTGGCATTTCTGGTGCAGAAAATGACAAAAATATACAGTTGTATGAGGACAGCTGTCACTGCACGTGGAATGATTGTTGTAGCCACCTTCTAGAAGACTAAGGCCACTTGGAGAATTAAGTTCATGCTTATGGTGTGATTCTAGGGGTATGAGAGGTATTTCACATCTAACAACCCAATCATTACCCCTAGATCCTTTTATTATAATGACTCCTAAAGGGAGAGAAAGGAGAGAGATGAAGAGACACACGCATAGAGCAGAAAAAAATCAGATTTTTATTTCCTTTTCCTTTTCTTTTTCCTTGGGTTTTCCTCCATTGATTAAGATCCAAGGAGTGGCGAGCTAAGTGCCGAGAGGAGCTAGTGAGCTAAGGTGATTCGTGGTGGCCGAGGAGACCTTCGGTGGCGCGTCGAAGGCTTCTTCTCACTTCCCTTTTTACTACTATTTTTCGATTTATTTGTGGGTTGTAGGAACGAATATTTTCATGACTTTGTGTTTGGATATTTTGAACCCCACCATGAACTAAATTATTTGGTGGTGGTTGGTTTAATGGATGTTTAGACTTTATTTTGATGATATATTTGAGTTTATTTTGGTTCTTTATTTGCTTTGCTTATGAATGCTTCACCATCTAGGCTTGTAAGAGGCATGAAAATGTCCATTTCTTAGATGAAGTTTAGGTATTCGGGAGAAATCTAAGCTAGAAATACTTGTAAGTATTCGAGAGGACCGCAAGTTAAGATCCTCATAAGCAATGTGTTATAGTATTTCCAAGGGACTTTGAACCGGCCTAGGGATATTACAACCTAATACCTTAGATCTCGGGAGAGACTACGATAGGATTTCAACGACTAAAAAGGGTGTTTTTATCAATAGGGTAGGCTAGCCAACATCATTGAGTGAGAGTAGATGCCTTGACATCCTATTCTGCTAGATTCTTTTGAGAACATTTTAGGAAAGCCCTGTCGAGTAAGTAAAGACCAGATAACTTAGATATACATGATAAATAAGTTAAGCATCCTTAGATTAATCCCTGTCATTCATTTCATTGGAAGCTTGTCACGTGAGGATTATCTTCTTTTCATTTTATTTACTGTTATTTACCATCTTTCATTGCCTCGACATTACACCATTTTCAACACTAAACATCTTATCTTGCCACTACATTTCCATCTAATACACCATCAGACCATTCATCTGCATCCATCAGCATGCACATTTTTATTTTGCCATGACATTTGTATATATAAAGACTAACTATACATAGATAGATTAGTGCTTAGTTTTGGTTAGACTTTCGTAATTTCACCCAATCCCTGTGGAGACGATACTCACTCATCACTGTATTACTTGAGCGATTGTGTATACTTGCACATTATTTGCGTATATTTTATAGTACTCACAACACACAACAAGTTTTTGGCGACGTTGCCGAGGATTGACAGCCTGAAGTTATTTAGTTTTGCCAGAGCATTTTATTTTGTCTTGCATTTTTATTTGTGTATAGTTTACTTGATATTTTTTTCAGGTTTATTTAGCGTATACCTAGAAGAAATTCTGAAGAGCCTTTGGAACCGATAGAACCTAAGATTGAAAGACTCTTTAGACAAAGGAGACGTGATCAATGCACTAGAGGAAACATGTATCAGATTGGAAACCAAGGCATTGGTCAGGATGATGGAAATTAGAATGCCGCGGTATTAGGCAATGCTGAACCTGCTGGTAGGCCGCACGTTATTCGTGATCACTTAAATCCGATGCTGGATGATCTGAATCCTGGAATCGTGGCACCCAACATTCAAGCTGCATATTTCGAGCTGAAACTAGTCATGTTCAACATGTTGAATTCCATTGGGTAGTTTGGGGGTATGCCAAATAAAGATGCCTGGCAGCATATTCGTAATTTTCTAGAAGTTTGTGATTCTTTTCGCCAAGAGGGAGTACATGAGGATTTTCTAAAGTTAAAGTTGTTCCCGTATTCATTACGTAACCGAGCAAAAGCTTAGTTGAGTGGTGTACCAGTCGGTTCGATGGAATCGTGGGCTGATCTTTGTAAGAGTTTCTTATTGAGGTATAACCCACCAAACATGAATACGCAGCTAAGGAATGACATATTATCTTTTCGCCAGGGTGTCGATGAATCTATGTACGAGAGTTGGGATCGTTACAAGAGTTTGTTTCAAAAGTGTTCAAATCATGGTTTTCATGATTGGACTCAAGCAGTCATGTTCTATAATGGAGTCAATGCACCCACGAGGATGTTAATTGATGCCTCGGCAAATGGGACATTGCTGGATAAATCACCTACAGAGGCGTTTGCTATTTTGGACAGAATTGCTAACAATGATTATCAGTTTCCTTCCTCAAGACTTGGGAATAGGAGGAGAGCACCTGGAGCATTTGAGTTAGATATCAAGGATTCGTTGTCCGCTCAACTCTCAACTATCACCAATATGTTGAAAAACTTACAACGTTCTACTGAGGTGAAGGAAGTGAAAGAAACTAGCTTGGCATGTCTGTTATGCCAAGGCAATCATCATGAGAGCGAATGACCAAGCAATCATGAGTCCATCAAATTTGTAGGCAATTACAATAGAGGAAACAAAAATCCTTACTCTAACACTTTTAATGCTGGATGGCGTCAGCACCCCAATTTCTCATGGAGAAATCAAGGAACCCACAATGCTAATCAACCTACTCGGCAGCAGAATCACAATGAGTCTCAAGGTTACCAGAATCCTATGTCATGGCATAATGTTAACAAATGAGCTTCAACTTCAGCAAACATGAGTTCCTTGGAAGCTACAATTCAAGAGTTCATATCTACTATAAAGACAATGCTGCAAAACCATTCTACTTCAATTAAAAATCAAGGAGCTTTACTTCATAGTCAAGGCACCTTACTTCAAATCCATAGCTCGTCTTTGAGAGCTTTGGAAGGTCAAGTTGGTTAGATTGCTACGGCATTGCAAGAGCGTTAATAAGGGTGATTTCCAAGTGATACTGAAGTCACTAAAGGGCCTGGAAAAGAGCATTGCAATGTGTTAACTCTTAGGAGTGGAACACAAATCAATCAACAAATCAAGGCTAGTGCGCCATAACATGATGACTCTACTCCCACTACTGAAAGTGGTAAAACTGAATTGCATGACGATACCATTACTGAGAAAGACAAGGAGGAGGGTTCTACTAATGATTCAACTAAGGCACCAGATTCTGATGCCAAGGTAAAAGCAATTCCTACTACTGCAGTTAAGGAAGCGAGACCTCCACCACCCTTCCCACAAAGATTGAAGAAGCATAATGATGAAGTTCAGTTCAAGAAGTTCGTGGACATTCTTGATCAACTCCATATCAATGTACCTCTCTTGGAAGCTATTGAACATATGTCGATGTATGCCAAATTTCTGAAGGAAATCTATACCAAGAAGATGAAAGTAGAGACTATTGCCACGGTAACAGAATTTTGTTCTTTATTGAGTAAGTTGCCGCCAAAACGAAATGATCTAGGCAGTTTTATTATTCCTTGTTCGATTGGAGCTAATTTTTTTGGAAAGGCACTGTGTGATCTTGGCTCAAGTGCAACTTAATGCCAAAATCTATATTCTTGAAGCTTGGCATAGGAGATGCAAGACCCACCTTGGTTGTTTTACAACTTGCCGACAGATCCCATGTTAAACCTGAAGGGAGAGTCGAGGATGTCATAGTGAGGGTGGATAAGTTTGTGTTTCCAGTCGACTTCTTAATTTTGGATTACGAAGTTGATGCCAAGGCACCTATTTTTTTGGGAAGACCTTTTCTAGCCACTGGACGTATATTGATAGACTGTGAGAGAGGTGAACTTACCATGAGAGTGGTCGATCAGTGTGTGACTGTCAATATGTTTCGAACGCTCAAATATATCGATGACACTGAAGAATGCCAATGTATTTCTGAATCGAACTCAGTGATTGAATAAGAGACTGAATATCTTTGCCAGAACAATTTCATTCAGCTAGCAGAAAATGATTATTTGGTGGATGATGAAAGCTTAGTGGAGTCTGACAACTTTTCAATTTTGGAGGAGCAGTCTAGCTTACTACAAGCTAGATCATGTATAAATTTTGAACCTATGAATTTTGATGAATTCATTCCTCCTAAGCTTTCATTATTGCATGCACCTACATTAGAGCTTAAGAATTTGCCAGGGCATCTTAAATATGTTTATTTAGGTAGCGATTAGACTTTACCGGTGATTATTTTCGCTAACCTTACTGCTAATCAAGAGAAAAGTTTGTTAAGTATTTTGATGCAGCATAAGAAAGCAATTGGTTGGACTATGACCGACTTGAAGGGCATTAGTCCCACGATCTGTATGCACAATATTTTGCTAGAAGATTACCACGGTAATTGAATTGAACCACAAAAAAGACTCAACCCTGTTATGAAGCAAGTGGTGATGAAAGAAATTCTGAAATGGCTTGATGCTGGAGTGATTTACCCTATCTCCAATAGCTCATGGGTGAGCCCTGTCCAATGTGTTCTGAAGAAAGGAGGCACGACTGTGGTTACTAATGAGGAGAATGAGCTATTACCCACTCGCACTGTTACCGGATGGAGGATATGCATGGACTATAGAAAACTCAACAAAGCTACAAAGAAGGACAATTTTCCTCTACCTTTCATCGACCAAATGTTGGATCGATTGGCCGGCAAAGCATTTTATTGCTTTTTAGATAGATACTCGGGGTACAATCAAATTGCCATCGCACCAGAAGACCAAGAAAAGACTACATTCACTTGTCCCTATGGCACTTTTACCTTTAGGAGGATGCCTTTTGGATTCTGTAATACCCTGGCAACGTTTCAGCGCTGTATGCAAGCTATATTTTCAGACATGGTTGAGGATTTTCTGGAGATCTTCATGGACGACTTTTCTGTTTATGGGGATGATTTTGAACGATGCCTCGGCATTCTAGCAAAAGTTCTCAAAAGATGCGAAGAGGCTGAGTTGGTCTTAAATTGGGAAAAATGTCACTTCATAGTGACTAAATGCATTGTATTAGGCCACAAAATTTCACACAAGGGTATTGAAATGGACAAGGCGAAGATTGAGGTGATTGAAAAGTTGCCACCACCAACTTCGGTCAAGGGGATAAGAAGTTTTCTTGGACATGCTGGATTCTATAGAAGGTTTATCAAAGACTTCTCCAAGATTTCTAAGCCCTTGTGCACATTGCTTCAACAAAACCAACCCTTTGTGTTTGACGAGTTATGCCTCAGCGCATTTACTGAGTTGAAACGACAATTGATCTCGGCACCCGTTGTAGTTCCTCCTGATTGAACATCACCATTTGAGCTGATGTGTGATGCAAGCGATTATGCCGTAGGAGCTGTTTTGGGGCAACGCCGAGGTAAACTTTTTCATGTTATTTATTACTCTAGCCGCACTTTAAATGAAGCACAATTGAACTACACCACCACTAAGAAAGAATTACTTGCTGTGGTATTTGCTTTTGATAAATTTAGACCTTACCTAATAGGCACTAAAGTTATTGTTCACACTGATCATTCGGCTATAAAATATTTAGTGAACAAAAAGGATGCCAAGCCTAGACTTATTAGGTGGATCTTACTTTTGCAAGAATTTGACTTAGAGGTGGTAGATAGAAAAGGAACTGAGAATTAAGTTGCTGATCACTTATCTAGGCTAGAGAACAATTCTGAATGCCATGACACTGTAGATATCCAAGAGGAATTTCCCGATGAGAAACTTTTATATGCCGCGGCAATTCCGTGGTACGCTGACCTTGTTAATTTTCTTGTTAGTGGAATTCTGCCTTTTGATTTAGATAGTCAGGCTAAAAAGAAATTCAAGCACGATGTAAGGCACTATTTTTGGGATAAGCCATATTTATTCAAGCATTGTGCCGATCAACTCATTAAACGATGTGTACCCGAAGAGGAACAACGTGATATTTTGTACCATTGTCATTCGACCCCAAGTGGAGGCCATTTTGGTGGAGCAAGGACTGCTGCTAAGGTCCTACAATCAAGCTTTTACTGGCTAACTATGTTTAAAGATGCCCAAGCATTTTACAAAGCTTGTGATCGATGCCAACGGACTGGAAACATCTCCAGATGACATGAAATGCCACTGTAAAATATTCTGGAGATAGAGCTGTTTGATGTGTGGGGCATTGATTTCATGGGAATATTCCCATCTTCTGAAGGAAAATTATATATATTGCTTGCTGTGGATTATGTGTCAAAGTGGGTAGAAGCACTAACGACATCAAGGAATGACTCTAAGACTGTGCTCAAGTTTCTGCACAAGTACATTTTCACTCGGTTTGGAGTACCCCGAGCTATTATAAGTGATGAGGGAACCTATTTTGATAACAAATTGATTGCCAAGGCACTGAAGAAATATGGAGTTCAACACAAGATTTCCACGACATATCATCCGCAGACAAATGGCCAAGCAGAAATTTCCAATAGCGAGATCAAGCAGATTTTGGAGAAAGTGGTGAACCCAAGGCGTAAGGATTGGTCGCCATAGTTGGATGAAGCACTTTGGGCATACAGAACAATATTCAAGACTCTTTTGGGGATGTCACCCTTCAAGTTAGTATATGGGAAAGCTTGTCATCTCCTGGTTGAACTTGAACATAAGGCGTATTGGGCCATCAAACGATTGAATTTTGACGCTCAACTAGCTGGGGAACAGAGATTACTAGAACTTAATAAAATGGAAGAGTTTAGAGCACAAGCATATGAGAATGCTCGGATATACAAGGAGAAAACCAAGAAGTGGCATGACCAGAAACTGATGCCACGACATTTTCATGTGGGGCAACAAGTCTTGCTTTACAACTCCAGACTTAAACTCTTTCCTGGGAAGCTAAAATCTCGATGGTCAGGGCCATTTGAGGTGAATTATGTCAACCCCATGGAGTTGTTGACATCAAGAGAATAGACAATGAGATGATCTTCAAGGTCAATGGCCAGCGTCTGAAAGCCTACAATGGAGTTCCACCACCGTACAACAAGGATGTGTTACATCTGCACGATGCTGAAGCGTGCTAAGAGGAGAACCAAAATTCGATGCCATGGCATTGAAGTTGTGTCTGTACATAAATAAAATTTAAAATTTAAGCTTTTGTTTCATTTTATTTTGTAATTAATTTTTTATATGATTTGTAGGGACCACAGTGTTGCAAAACCATGCAGGAGCAGTTATCCAATTGGAGGAAATGACAGCGCATTAATAGGAGATATATTTCTTTGATTTTATTTCTTTTTAATTTACTTTAATTCTGATATTACTTTTCTCTCTCCACAGTTTTATGCTATCATCATCATTTCTTTTGACAGTTTTTTCCTTCCCCATACACACATAACCCCCATCCACTAATTTATCTCTTAACCATCTTATCAACCATTTTCCCTATTAAATATTTAACTTTTTCTTTTCTCTTTCATCATTAATATTTTATTCTTAACTTTTACTTTTTATCTCTCATATTCTTCACTCTTTTCTCCATAGCTGAAACTCTACAAAGCTTTTGAAAGCTATTTCCTTTTCCAATTTTTTTATTACTTCATAACTGTTGAAAATGGTGCGCACAAGAAGGTTGCACCTGAAGGTTCCAAGTTCTAACAGTTTGAGAACGAGGAGGCCAAGGCTCGGTTCTAAAACTTCAAGAACCGAAAACTCTTCTTCGAGTTAGGTTTTATTTTTACCGAGGAGACCGATGGTGGTTTTGGACCCGATGTAATGGATATAGTTACGCTGCTCAAGTGGAAGAAATTCGCACGCCATCCAAGTTCAGTGAATGCCTCCTTGGTTAAGGAATTTTACGCAAATATTTCAAAGCCAAACCAACATGCTATTTTTGTACGAGGTAAGCAGATTTGTTTTACATCCACTGCGATTAATCGTTATTTCCACTTGCAGGATGTAGTGGATGAGCATGCCGCGTTCGAAAATGAAGCTGATAGCCACACTTATGATGAAATTCTTGAGGATTTATGCTTTGCAAACACTGAGTGGAATGGGCGTCAGAGAGCGTCTTCAGCCGCGTGCTAAATTATGGAATCACTTCCTTAAGCACAAACTCATGCCCACTTCTCACAATACAACAATATCACTTTCACGCTTACTGCTTTTACATTCGATAATGGTGTCCCGTCCTATTGATGTTGGGCGTATTATTGTTCAGCAATTTCATGACTGCTTAAGTAAAAAGTCAAGTGCTTTAGTGTTTCCTAACTTAATTATTGCCTTGTGTCGTAAGAAAAAGGTTGAGGAAAATGCTTTTGATGAAATTTTACCTGGATTATCGGCCATTACTAGGGCTAGACTTCCACTGCTATTGGGAATTGAAAGTCCCAAGTCTAAAGACTCTGTTCATGAGAAACAACAGGTACTACACAATCCGATGCCGAGGCAATATTGCTTGCTCTCGAGGAAGAAGTGATGTAGATTTAGACTCACCTGCATGCTTTGCACGGTGATATCCGTAGCTTCTTTGGATATGTGAAGCATAGAGATGCTATGGTGGAATCAATGTTTCAAGAAATTATTCCCCACGGTCAACGGAATTTCCCTGGCTTCCCAGACGAAATTCTGCCGGCATTCAATGCCGAGGCATCTCCAGAGCCCGAACAAGGTGAAGATGATCCTCCATTTGATGACCCAACACCTGATCCGCACCGTTCTGACACCCCTGAATATCCACCCACTGTCTCTGTAGAAGAAACACCTAGTCCTATCCCTACACCTGATCCTTCACCTGCATCCCGTAGTGGTCGACGCACCAAGACCACGGCTGGACATACCAACACCACGGCTGGACGTAAAAAGATTGCGCATCACTACTCTTCTTCTTTTGAGTCCAGCTCAGCACCCCTTCGAAAGCGCACTAGGCGAGGAGCTGCTAGCACCTCCAAGGCCATGCCACCACGCAATCATTGAGGTATCTTTCTTGCATTCATTTTCATTTAGTAGCATTTCATTGCATGGCATTTAGTTTATATTTAGTTTAGTTCTCTTTAAGCATTGAGGACAATGCTTCCCTTAAGTTTGAGGGAGGTAGTGTTCTTAATAGGATATATGCATAATAGTATTAGCATAGTATTATGTCATGGCATCAGTAAATGGTAGGACAGTTAGATAGAATGTTTTAAGGATACCCGATGATGATGATTTTGTTAGTCTAGAATCTGAATGTAAATGACTGTTGAGAATGATAGAACTCACTCTAGGGCTTGATTCTTTGTGAAATTTTTTTACACGAATTGTATGTTCTCTATACTTAGAAAATTTGGAAAATTTTTATGAAGGAACTCTAGTTAGTTTTGGCATTGAAATATAGTATTGTGCATAAAAGAAAAATAAAAAACAACTCCCTTATATATGAAACTGTGAATAAATGCATAGGCATAGCTGTAGAGGGACACTCCTCTTTGCCGTGGCATTGCCTGGAATTCTCTTTAATAAATGACAGCCTTGCGCATATGAGTGAATGAAAGAAGTCACGTGATGACTCTACTTAACTAGCTTGGGGTGGAATGTATGCTCCCTTTCACCTAGAGTGTGGGATAGTAGGTGTGATGAGCTGACTCCCTTCGTAACAGCAAGTTAAAAAAAATCAGAAAAGAAAAAGGGAGTAAAGAAAATGTGCTTAATGAATAAGTAAATTCCTTGACAAAAACTAGGGGACTTGATTAGAAATTGTCTAAGTTTGCTAAGTATAGTTTGAATACAATCATGCACACACACGACCACAAAGGATCTTGACCTAGGGAAAAGTACTTGATTTCTTGATATGTCTAGCTTGTGTAACTGCTATCCATTGCTTGAGGACAAGCAATAACTTAAGTTTGGGGTGTGTTAACTTCCTAAAAAGGCTACTTTTAAGGCCTTTTTCACTTAAGTTATTGTTTGTTTAAAAGTTCATTTTAGGAATTTTAAGATCATGTAGTTTCATATAGTTTCATTTGTGGTGGT